TTGGTTTGCCTCGCCGGCATTCCATTGCACCAGGCCCTTGAATGATCTCGAACGCAAAGAGTAACGCCGCAGCATTTACAGGAGGAGTCATCCTTTAGAAGTCAGCGAAAGCAAAAGGTACCAAAGGGTTCATCTCGTGTTCTTGAGAGAACACCTAGAAAGCATTAGGCCCCTCTATTTCCCGCGTACCCTGCTTTTCCAACCCAATCCTGTTGTTTCACCCTGTTACCTTTTGGCTTATGGGCCAACAGAAACAGGTTGGGGTCGGGAAAGAAAGAAACAACGACGAGGTCCCTCCTTGAAACCCCCACCAGGAGAAATAGGTGCGTTTCTGAAACGACGGCAACGCTGGAGTGCCCCTTACTTCCTGTCAGGCAGTCTTCAGGTCATCCCCAAATAGCCGAGTGCCGGAGCTGCAATCTGCCGCGTGAAACCCACGGTCGAATTCTGAATTCATATGAGCAGCGCCGAAAAAAATGACTCGTGGTCTCAGCATGGTCGTATATAGGTTTGTATAGTTCGCAAAACAACCCCGTATGCAACCATGGAGGCCAATATGGCCCATGAGAGCTTTGGGGCCCTGCGCATGCAAACATGTAGATGAAAAAACAATCACTGAACTCACTGAACTCAAGGGGAGTTCAGAAGGATTTTAAACGAAGGTCAATGAGAATGTAATGAGAATTGAACGAGAACTCAGGTTGATTTGCTCATGATGACCAATCATTGACTAAGCACTATGCTCCCAGAAGCAGAAGAAACATCCCCTGCCTTCTCCCTTGAACACCAAGCCAGTTTCTGGTGAAGGTCTCATCCCATGTGGGACGCGCCGTGAGGCATGAACAATCTCACAGAGTATTTGCGATCAATGACATCCTCCCTCTAAAACAACCAGAACCAGTCTTGCCCAACATGTGCCACAGCCCGCATCCTGCCCGCTGTGCTCCCGGCCTCCCAAGTCTTTGATGCGAGGTGCAGCGAGGCAATCTGTCGAGAAAGAACAAGTACTGTCCGTCGACCGTAGGAGCAAACACGAAATGATGTAAGTTTTCCCTCTGCTGGTTTTGTAAACACGAAAGGTATGAATAAACGGGCAGTTGGAAGGCACTTCCGCCTGAGCGCTGGCACACTATTATTATGAAAGGGCTGAATATGAATAGCTAGAGCTGCATCTGAATAATTGTGACTCCCTGCGCTCAGGTACTTGCAAGGGCCCCATCTACGTGGCAACCATTTTCTGGCAGAGTCAGTACAACCTGGTACTCGAAGAACCTACAAAAACTTGGGGTGGGCAGCAAAAACCAGGTTTTGTTCCTGCCACTCGTCGAAAACCGGGTTTTCGGTTGAAGAACCTGGTTTTGCTTCTTCAAACCCGTACAAAAACCGTACAAAACCCGTATAAAAGCAGTACAAAACCCGTATTTTCCGTATGCTTTTTGAAATCCAGGTTTCTCCTCTGAAAACCAGGTTATGATTGGGAACCCGCTTTTTTGTAGGATTTTGGAGTAGCAGGAAAGTCTGCTATGCGCCAGAATGTACCCACAGCACATAAGGAATTACAAGAGCGGCTGTATCGATTTACGGCTGGGAAAGACACATCCTACTCAATCGCCTTAAAATGCCCAGGTGTCGGTGTTGGCTCATCTCAATGGATTTAAGTTTCATTGGGTGACGCTTGCCAAGTGCTACCTGCATTGGGGGGCCCTAGGCAAGCAAAGGAATGAACGAACCAGGGTTTGCCTCCTGCCCACAAACATCCAGCCGTGTCGTTATCCGTCGGTCTTCTGACAGGAATTTTTGCTTCGCCTATCATTTATTTTCACCTATTTTCAATTTGCAAAAAGGGCTTCCTGCGCACGGTCGTTTCACCAATTTTTGGCAACACTGGCAGGCATGGGTCATCACGCACCGCGTTTCTGCATTTTCTTGTGGCTTCCTTTGAAACCATGCTTGAATGCTCAATCATGGTTTTGCATGGGAATTTTGTGTGTTTTGGGCAGCAGCCATCTTCAGCGATCAAAAACCCATGTTTCTGGAGACCCAACATGTGTCCAGTTTCTGGGTTTGGAGACCCGGGTTTACTTGGGCGGGGGTGCTTACCATGTAAAAAGATCACTGGGCGGGGGCGCTTGCCAAGTGCTGGGTGGCATGACTCGGACGCGGGTGCTCACCATGTGTTGGGTGGGATCACTTGAGCGGGGGTGCTCACCATGTGTTGGGTGGGATCACTTGGGCGGGGGCACTTACCATGTGATGGGTGGGATCACTTGGGCGGAAATGCTCACCGTGTGTTGGGTGGGATCACTTGAGCGGGGGTGCTCACCATGTGTTGGGTGGGATCACTTGGGCGGGGGCGCTTACCATGTGATGGGTGGGACCACTTGGGCGGGGGTGCTCACCATGTGTTGGGTGGGATCACTTGCGGGGGGGTGCTCACCATGTGTTGGGTGGGATCACTTGGGCGGGGGCGCTTACCATGTGATGGGCGGGATCACTTGGGCGGGGGTGCTCACCATGTGTTGGGTGGGATCACTTGAGCGGGGGCGCTTGGGCGGGGGTGCTCACCATGTGTTGGGTGGGATCACTTGGGCGGGGGCGCTTACCATGTGATGGGTGGGACCACTTGGGCGGGGGTGCTCACCATGTGTTGGGTGGGATCACTTGCGGGCGGGGGCGCTTACCATGTGATGGGCGGGATCACTTGGGCGGGGGTGCTCACCATGTGTTGGGTGGGATCACTTGAGCGGGGGTTGGGCGGGGGTGCTCACCATGTGTTGGGTGGGATCACTCGGGCGGGGGGTGCTCACCATGTGTTGGGTGGGATCACTTGGGCGGGGGTGCTCACCTTGTGTTGGGTGGGATCACTTGGGCGGGGGTGCTCACCATGTGTTGAGTGGGATCGCTTGGGCGGGGGTGCTGCTACGTGGGTTTTGCACTGACGGTTTCCGACCCGACAGCACAAACATGGAACCTGCAGCAGGGTTTCTGGCAAAGGCGTTCCTCTCCGAAGCACGGGAAACAAATGGTACACGCTTGGGCGTCAGGCCGTGCAGCCGATATGTTGCTCAGAAAGCCACACACAACCCAATCATCTGGTATACTATACTGAAGCTCCCGCTGTAATCAAACCAAGTTGTCTGAACGCAAAAGGTTGAAAGATTTTGCTGTTTCTCCATCCTGGGCTTCCCAAAGGAAGCCCAAGAAACATCAACCCATTTCATCAATACTAATAATCACGATAAAGAGGACACAATCCATAAACACGCGCATCAAGATGTATACCTTCCTGTCTGTTGGTCGAGGTAAGCTTTTCCCGCGCTTTGCCAATAGCAACGCGAGGAAACAGCTCGCCCTCGGCAACCCAGTTCAGTCAGAATTTCTGCTAAGCACGGTCCATTTGGACTGGGTTGCTCCCCCTGCACCCAAGGTCTAGCCTTGTGTAGGTTTAATGGAAAAGCCAAATGTGCTCCCAAAAAGGTATAAGACGATTGGGCCACACCAAAGAGTAGCCATGCCAAGTAGATGGTTGCCAAGCATGGTGCAACATGGCGCTTTTGGGAGCCATGGTGTCATGCTAGGTCCTGGTCCTCAAAACGGGCCATCCGGTTGCAAACAAATCTTTCTTATTATTTGTTGCCTGGACAAACCTTGCACTTCCTCTAAAACCATTTGGGGTTGTGTGTTTAAAACACCCTCCCCTTTTGCGGTTGGTTTGAATCGGAAACCTAAAGGCAATCATCATTTCGAGTCCCCTTATGAGAACCCTTCGTCGACTCACCAACTATTTGCTACGAAACGCATCGCCCGCTGGACTCACCGACCGCTCAACCGCGGCGTGCCAGCAAAGGCCGCCAATTGTCCTTTGTGAGGTGCAGATTCGGGTGCCTGAGCGGGTGGCTACACAACGTGGCAGGCGGCCATGGAAGGACCAGTGTGGGTTTCGCCTGCAAGGAAACCCGCGGTGCCAAAGTCCAGGCTTGAAGAAACAGATGGGAAAGCCCAAGCTCAGCTACAAGACGGGTCAGAAAAATGGCAGGGAAGCTCCATCTTTTGGTCCCCCCCTTTTCGTGCAGGGTTCGGCCGCAAAGCTGGGAAAAAGATGGATCTCCCGTGATCTCCTCGGATCGCTGAAGGAGCCAAGCTCGGAGCATGATTGTTCTTCCCCAAAGGGGTGGGGTGAGACCTGTGCAACTGGGCAACGTAACAAGATCCATAACAAACAAGAGGAGGAGAGCGCAAGCGCAAGCTTCAACAGAGTCATCCTAGAGCACGGGTTGGCGGAGGCAAGAAATGGGGAAAGGAATTCCTTTCCCCTGTGCGTTGGTTGCCAACATCCCAGCAGAAGCCGGTCCAAGCCACCAGATCGCAAACATTACCATCCTCTAAAGCCAAACTTGGTCCAAACATTGGCCAAAGAGGGTCACTTAGCTTGTTTTCCCCAAACGAGTGTCCAATTGGCAACGACTCCCGCCTCCCTGACGTGAATCTGAAACCTTTTTGCGAGGCGGGTTTCAGGGGCAACCAACACAAACCAAGCATTTAAAAGGATCCTGACACACGGGGACATGCCCATCTAGAGCTATGGCAAGAGGAGCCATGGCATGACTGTATGGGTTCCGACACGCGGATCCCCAATCCCAATCCGTAATCCGTAGTGGGACACCACTACAAGGGAACCACTACCAATTACTACTAGTAAGCAATCTTGCGGATCATTCTTTGAAGAGGAACAAACCAGACTGCTTTGAATGGGCAACCTAAACGAGAGCAGCCACTAGAGAGTCCCTCGCTTTGGCGCAGCCTTTTCTCGCAGAAGGACGTGCAGCTTCACCGCTCTTTGGTACATTGACACGCGGGAGGTCGGCATGCCTTCTGCTTCATTTTTTTGTCAGCATCCACTGTCAAACTAAATCTGCGGGCCCACTAAAGTGACATGCTCAAAATCACCCGCTAGTTTAAAGAGAAACTACCCCCACTGTAATTGCCGCAAGATGGCGTACTGCAAGCACTTACACACTTTACGGGGCCCGCATCTCAGCAAAAGCTTGTGCTTAGGAAGAAATATCTCCCTTCTAGCTTCCCTGGGGCCATGGTGAACGGAAAGGGAGGAGAACAGGTTGGGCATAGTTGGGGTACGGGTTCAGCCAACCCGCATCTGCGACATATCCATATGCTTGCAAAGGTTTGTTTCTCGACATCTTTTCCATCTTGTGGGAGCGGAGCAAAGCCTTGACTTCCTCAGTGGTGGCTTCTTGGAAGGGAGTCGCGCCAAAGAAGTTTGTCAAATGCTTCTCCGCGCCAGCTTGCAGCAAGGAACGCACCACCTCCAAATGCCCATGACGTGCGGCATGGTGCAAGGCGGTTTCTCCGTCCTGGCTTCTGCCCCCTAGGCCCTATACACAAAGTTGTCTTGTTTGTTGATTCGTGCATGTTCCCAAAAAGTCGAAAAAAGTTAAGGATCCAACCAAATAGAAGCCCAGAAACCTCATCTTTCTCGTTCTTGCTCGCCCCAGCTTCCAGCAAGCATTTGGCGACCTGGTGATGGCCCTGCAGGGAGGCAACGTGCAAAGCCGTGCGCCCGAAGCCGAACTCTGTGCGGTCCTTGTCAGCACCAGCCTCCAGGGTCCGTTCGATCCCCCCTTTTTGGGACCAGTTGGCCAGAGGAGGAAACCTGCACTTTTGGGTAGGTCATACGTGGTTCCAACAAACTTGTCTGAAACGGACTACCCTGCCAGCCTCTAGCAACTGATGTACCACTGGCTGATGGCCCTGCTGTGCTGCTGCATGCAAAGGCGTGACACCTCCCCGGTCCTCCTTCTTGGTGTCAGCGCCGGCCTCCAGCAAGAGATGAACCACCTCTTCATGACCGCAAGAGGCGGCCACACACAAAGCGGTGCGCATATTGTTGTCCACGGAATCTGGGTCATATGACTCATCCAAAAGGCTCGAAAGGGCGGCATGATCGCCGGTGCGAGCTGCCTGGACAAGCTTCATGGAGGGCCCCAGTTTGGCCTTGACGTACTGCTGCACCACGGCCACCAATGGCTCCTTGAGCCAGGGATCCTGCTGGCCCAGCACGTCCTCTCCGCGAAGCAGCCGCAGCTGACGGAAATGGAGCCCCTCGCGGTGTGCGACTTCTTTCCTCAGCAGGTCTACGAAACATGCGCCGCGTTCACGGAGCTCGCGGTGATCTTCCCACCACTGAGCAAAGTCTTCGGCAGACAGCACTTGCCGGCCGCTCGGCAAGACTACACATGCCATCACGGGAAGATCCAAAGCTGGTTTTGGGCCGGGACCTGAGTGAAGGCAATGCTGGAAATCTGGTGGACCAAGTCAAGCTGAAGTACGAAAGGCACCCCGAGTCTTTGAATGGCGATGAATTCCACTGAACTAGCTGCACAAGCTCGAATCGGTTGGTCGGAGCTCAAACCAGTGTCTTGATCAGACTGAGACGCTGCAACAAAAATGCGTTGCTTGCCAATTGAACGCACTCTGTCAAGTTCCTTCGAATGGTGAGTGTCTAAACCTTTCACCCTTGAGCTAAGCCTCCCGACCTGCGAATAACTCTAGGGCGCTAAGTGTTACGGGGGGAACCTGGCCCGATTGGGGAACGAGCACACGGCTCATCAGCAAACCTTGGCCAACACTCAGGCTGCACCACAAACAATATGTTAAGATACTGTTCCGAATATTTAGTCAACCTTGAAATTTCCAAGATGCTGCGCAACCAATACAATTCCCAAAACCTGAAAGAAGAGTTGGATCCCCAAAGTAAGAACTGGATCCCCAAGCAAAGGACCTTCATCATGAGCTCCGTTTACCCCCGATCGGTGAGATTGCCAAAAGGCAGAATAAGATTGAGACCCCAGAGTTTCTGCACTAAGATTGCGACCCCGGAATAAGGTTTGAAACCCTGACAATTCTGCGAAAGAACAAGCTACACATGTTGGTTTCGTCGTCCCCTTGACTTGCCCACGGCTACGGGGACTAGATCTTCTTCCAAGGTGTCCCCGCGGATTTTTTTTGGGCGCGGGCCGTTTCAACAGGCGCTCTGTGTAGATCGCCGCCAGAACCGCCATCTGTCAGAATTTGCGGGGGAAGATAGCGCGAGGACCCGTGAAAATACGTTTTGGGAGGAACCGTTGCACGCCAAGAGGAAGCAAACACTTGCGCAGAAAGAACAATTAAGAGCTTGCGTGTTTTTCTGTGTGGGGTGGGGAAGTGGGGTTGGCATATCAAGAGGAATCCTACGCTCTATTTTGTTCAGGGTTCCGGAACCTGGCGGGACATTCAACTGGATCCTACCACAATATGATGAGAAGCTGTGGACAAACTCCATGGCACCATTTAAGATGGATGAACTCCTGTAGAAATTGATAAACCGCCAACCCCAGGTCAAACGGCAGGGGGCCAGCCGTGCGGCGAAGCGTGCACCCAAAAATGTGTGCCTTCCCAAATAAGAAAGCAGAGAAGCTATGCCCCCGCATTTGTGTGGAGTGGACAGACTCAAGTCTTGTTGCGTTTCTTCAGGGCTGCCAGGCTGCATTTTTCTTGCAGAATGCAATGTTCGTGCAAGAGTTTGTCCTTCCACAGTATAGAGCCCTGCATGCCAAGTTGGGAGACATGTATTGGCACCCGCCCCAGAACGTTCAATCTTGAACTTCACACAAAAATGAAATGCCTTTCCTGCAGACAAATCCACCGGATTCGCAAAGCATTTGGGGAAGGGTAAGCACTGTACCCATGGAACCACAGAGTCATTCTTAGATGTGTCTTATAAGGATGTCATTTACGTTGCAAGGAAAAACCTGCAGAAATTCCTGCAAGCCAACCAATGATGAAACAAAATAAGTATTTGGACCCACAAAATGGAACTTGGATTTATTTTTTGGCTTCCCATTAAGCTAGCCTGAAAAGGGTCTCAAACACTTCACGCCCATGTGTACACCTCACATGTACAGGGAGGTGTACAGGGAGGAAACCATCCTGGAGCTTGCTTCAGTGACCACTCTATCGGTTTGTCGGTTTGGCGCTTCTTCCAAATTGAAGAACCTTTGGTGGATGACACTTACTAACACAATGAAGCAGCCAGCAAACAGAAAGTTGCTCCAGTTTGTCAACTCAACAGCATGTTGGGAGACAAAAAGGAAACCAACCGACAAGCCTGCCTGACGTTTGGCCTGTAACCCGAGTCTTTTGAACGCAGGGCGTTCCAGATTCACTGACCCAGTCTTGTCTGGCGTCCAAAAACAACTTCTTACATCCCCTCTCATTGGAAATATTGGCTGGCTCGCGCCCAGCCCCAGCCCGGCTTTGAGTGTTCAACCGCCTAGTGAGAGGCTGACTTCCTGAGTGGATGGGCCAACAAACTCTAAACTGCTTATTGTCCACTAAATGGTCTTCCCAAACAAAATACAAGTTCAGGAACAAGGAATTCATCTAAACACCACCTGCACATCAGAAGGGGATCCTAAAAAAAGGCCAAACAACACAAACAAGATTCAATGTGGCAAGAAGTCTGCTGTTTAAGAAGCCCAGTCCAGTTTGAGCATGTGGTCAATTGCTGTAGCTCTCACATCTGACCAATGGCAAGAGAGCATCGCGCGCAAAACAAGTTGGTGTCCAATCCGCTGACAAATGCCTGAAGCTTCTTGCGTCCAATGTTGTTATCTCCCGCACAAGGCTTCTGCCACCCAATCGCAATGTTTACAATAGTTGCAGAGCCTGCAATATGCGATCCCCAAGTTAGGGACCTTTCGGCATATGTTGCACGCGTTTTACCCGCAAGATCGCCTTGGTCGCTTGGCGACTCGGGTCCGACCTCCTTCTTGAACTCGGAAAGCTCGGCAATGTTCTTCAAAAGCGCATAGATCTGGTCAGCCAGGGCCTAGCATTCGAATGGTCGGCTTGGCCAACCTCCAATGGGAGGATTCCTCGCGGAATGGTGTCCTGGTCTTAAACATCGGCTCTGTGTTGGAGCCAAGGGGCTTAGGCCCAAAGCTCGCTGTGTGGAGCAGTTGTTCAACCCCAACTCTCATAGGGTGTGTCTGTTGTTTCTTGAGGGAGCCCTTGGTCTTGGGTTGGTTCAAAGGGAAATTGGGGGCAAACTACACGTTGTGAAGGTTCCACATCACTGTTGACAAGGCTGTGAACTATCAGGCTTACGAGTGAGAGCGAGAGAGAGAGAGAGAGAGAAAAAGAGCGGGAGAGAGCGAGAGAGAGAGAGACCAAGAGAGAGCGAGAGAGTCTCTGTCTTTCTCTCTTCAGGCACCTGACATCTTCTGATCGCTGGCAGCTACTTGGGTTAGTCAGACTTCGGCTCTCACAGCTTCCCATGACAGTTCCCAGGTTGGCCACAAGTTGTAGATTACTCATGCCTCTGAAAAATGGCGCCACAAAAAAAAGACAAATTAACCGAGCTGACCAATTGTGCCCCCGTGCTGCAACCTACCCGCTGGTCAACTAGTCCTGACTGAAAAGCAAAGCGGGGTCCGCTTCACCGATGGCCAGAGCCCTTGGCTCGGGTCCCAGCTGGCTGCCGGAAGTAGCGCCAGAACCGGCGCATCGAGAAGCGCCTGCCAGAGCGCTTTCGCCCCAAAAGCATTCTCTTGGAAACGTCGCACCATGGACCGTTTTGGGTGGCTTCAAAGGGAAACCGAAAGGACATACAAATGTTTGGTCGTCCTCTACTGAAAAAGCGCTTCCTGGAGGAGCTGGAAAGCAAAGGTGAGCCTTTGGGTACGTACTCCCCTGCTTAGTATGGCTTGGTCAAAGTGGGGGTCGATGCCCCAAACGGGGATTGGCGCCCAAAGATAGTGAGGGGTGTGGCGGTGAATCTGCAGAAGAGCATTGTCTAAGATACATTACTGGAAAACAAAGTCTTTGAGGCAATGATATCATGAAACTGTTCAGGACTGTTCAAATGGGTCGACACTTCAAAACAAACCGTTTGGGACTTGTAAGCAAAAACAAAACTGGGAAACGGACTGCTGGGAAATGTCGGAACAAAGGTAAAGACTGGAAAACAAACCTTTGGTCGTTAAGCAAGGGACCAAGTAAGGAACCTGCATCAGGGGGGTCAGTGGTTCGCAAACCCACTCTCGGCAGGTGAGGTCGCGATTGATTTGCCCAGAGAATCGCCAAACCGCCCGGCCTCTTGCAGTTCGGCTGCTCGGAGAACAGCTCCTGCCACTTGCACAAATCCCCGTTCCGGAAGGCAGGGGTCAATACCCTGGGCTGGATGGCTGGACATCGCTTGTTTCGCTTGCTTCGCACAACTTCTCAAGAGAAATGTGCCAGCTGCGCTATTCGCGTGAGCGAACAACATGGGTTGACCACTCACTATGCCTCCGCAGCTCAACCCAATTTGCAGCTTCTTAAAGGGGCGATGCCCGGGAAAAACAAGAGGTATAGTATTCAAATACTTTGGAACAAATTTGAAGGGGCCTCCGCCGGACCAAACATTTGGAAGGGTCCCTGGATTGTGACAAATGTCCAGATCAACCATAGAAACCATTTGAAAGATGCACTCAATACTTTAACCAAACACGCTTCTGTAAACTGCGTATGCACGAAATACTCCTGATTGTGCACCCAGGAATGGCACAGGCTTGGTCAAACTCCATCGTACGGCGTTCAACGTGAACACAAAGTTTGCCTTGTTTGCTGTGAGAAAGACACACCCACAAAACACACACACACAAACGAAATCTACAGGCTGGAACCTATTCCCTGGGCCGAACTTTCTCTACCAGTGGCCATGGGAAGAATGGGACATCGTCACTGGGCAGCCGTCACGGCCCCTCAGCTGACAAGATCATTTCCAGCCTTTCTCGTAAATGGATGTGGGAATCCTTGTTCTCTCATGTTTGAAGTCCGTCAACAGGAGTTCCCACAAAGAGGCAAACCTCAAAATGGCTGTGACCCTTTTGACGTTGGGGTGTTTTCTCACAGGTCACCCAAGGTGGAAGGTCATGCCTTCGTGCTTTTCCCCAGATATCTGAAATCTGCCGGGTTTTTTTAGCTTCTAGCAAAAAGGGGAAAGTTATTTGCAAGATGTAGTTACCCTTTTCCGGCTGGTTTGAGAAAGATGGGGGAATCCGAAAGGACAACCGACATCCATCTTCCCATGGGCGTGCGCTAAACGGGATGTGGCGCTTCGATGCTGCCTCGTTGAAGTCCGAGGCGGTCAGAGGTGCGCCTGCGGGAATGACCCCAAGAGATTGTTAGGCATGGGTTGTGGAGGTAGGAAGCTATGGGCTGCTAGGTATGGGTTGTGGAGGTGTGGAGGTATGGGCTGCTAAGTATGGGTCGTGGAGGTGTGGAGGTTATGTACCACTTATATAAGCTATTGTGTCCTTTAGCCGATGGCAACCCTTCGCCATAGAATGAGTGGTTCCTTTGGTTGCACGAACTTGGAATCACTGGGCAAGGGA